TCAGATATCTTTCATCAGTCTCCCATAGAACTTAATGATGAGAACACAGCCACTAAACACAAACATTTTTCATGCCGAATAGCAAGGTAAGGTATGACTACAAAAAAATGTTCATAAGAGGAACCACACATTTCTCTTCTCTCCTTGCAGTTGCAGATCCAGTTTTGCTTATGTTGTAACACTAAAATGTAACGCCTGGAAAAATCCAGGTTGGAAAATATAATTTCCCATATGTACTATTGGCAAACATGTGATAAAGCTTTTCTGAGTTCCCAGATTAACTTTGAGTGGTACATAAATTCTCACAGAGTAGGTTCCTAAGAGTATAATTTATTAGTCATACATACTTGTTTTAGCAGCTCTAAAATGGGATCATAAACTTCTTAAAGTCAAACAAGGACATATAAAATGTTCTGAATCAAGGAATTCAAATCAGTTACTCAGAAACTGAATTAGCTCAGATTGTGCATAGAATAAGGGATCCATTGCTATTCACCATTAAGCTTTCAAACTCTGCATAGATCTTCTTGAACTTGCTTGGAAGTTTCTGTTAATAAAAACAAAAATAGAAAACCTTAATTAAATCCAATTTGTGTGATGATTTTACTGTAAATTGTAGTTCCTTCTACAACACCCTAAGTCAGGAAAGAGCTCTTTTTGCCAGATATTTCTAACAATGTGCTAATCTAAAATACAACACGTTTCCTAGCAACCAGATTAGAGACAGGACCAGCCATGAAACCTGGATCTTGATTTAAACCCCAACTTGAATTTACTCCTTTCGGATGTTTAGATTCAGATTTTTGTTTGGCACACATCGCAATCACTGAATTCAGAATGCACGTGAAAGTTCAAGTCACTGGTTTCAGGACATTACTGATTATAGCCTATCTGAAAACATAATTTACACACAGCTTACGTAGGGGTAGCTCAGCTTAATTATTCATACCTATGATGAACTGCCCTTGCAACATTCAAATCCATGCCTGGGCATTTCCAGGAGACTTTTTTGGTCATGCTGATGTATCATCAACTATTGCTTAAGTTCTTGACATGCCCAGCTGCCAGCTGCCTTCTGGGGTATAAATTAATTAACAGTTTTTCAGTCCACAATACCTATGCAAATTACTCATGGTCAGTTGATCATGCAGTGATTAGGATGAGATTGGCTTTACTACATATTTTCTTTCCCTATCGTGTTGTGTTATAAGTATTAAATAATTCTACTATGAAGATTATAAGATACGTTACGAATTAGTTTTGGAGATCACAGTAATGTTTTATCCACACCCAGACTATGTCAGCTTTCTAGTTTTAATAAGAAATTTCTCTATATTTGCTGATTAAATCTGACTATTACTGGCAGCGGGTAACACTAAAAATTAATAGAGACTTTATAGCACAGAAATGATTTTTTGCACTACTTTCTACATTTGGAGTGTGTACCCTAGCAAGCTATTTACACTGTGCCACAGCAAGGGCCTAATTTTTAATGATGTGTGTCAACAACTGTGTGCCTAGTTTGCATATGCATGCAGATTAGGTATTTCTGAAATAAGTGGTATAATTGGACATTTGCACCTGCAAATATCTAATTTGTGCATGCAACTACTGTAAATGCATGACAATATAGCAAAAATCAGGTCTTGATATGTTTGTTTTTAAGTATAGTCTGTATATCTATCTGGCTAAAAATCAAGCTGAAGAGATTCTCTTGATGAACTGAGTACCCTACATAACCACAGCGTGGTAACATTTCATACCCCACACCTACAAATGATCTGTGCCACTCCAGCGCAGACCCTGCAACCACTTCAGATCGTTGTATGTAATATATACATTAAATTCTCTCTTCTCTCTTCATACTACTCCTGTACTAACTCAGATCTCCCAACTGCTCCTCTCAGTAGTCACAAATGGCCATTATTTTGAGAAACCGATTTGCAAATCCTGGCCTTTAGCACTGATTCTGCATGCCACTTGCAACATGTGCTATTAAAAACTAGGCTGGTGTCTTCTCAGATGTGTAAGTCTGATCTCCCATTTCAGTGCGCTTTTCAAAAGGTGATCACATTTTGGGGTCTCAGTTGCATCAATGACCTCAGTCATGATTTTGAATCTCTAATGAACAAAATACGTGCACATTCAGACCTGCACTGCTTTGGACAACCGCCATGTTCTTAGTGGTTACATGTGCTTACTATCTCATCCTGATGGACGTTTCACCCTTCTTATATACTTACATACAAAAGAGCAAAGCCACAGAAAAAGGTGGAAGCTCTGAGAATGAAGACTCAACTGACAGTAAGCAGGGGAATGTCAGAGAAAAAAACAAGAGACCTGGTTAGGACAAACCCATATTTTAATAGGGCAATAGATTCCATATGGAGATCAGAAAATACTATGTATAAACAGAGGATGGATTTTAGAGAAGTATCTATGGAGTGATCTCACTGAGTGAGTCAGAGGATGGGCTGATCTGAGAGGTTAACTGGCTAACTTGCTCATCCTGTTGGGCAGTTTGGCGCATCTGCAGAAGCTGCTGTTGTCACTCTTTTGAACTGCTTGAGTATTCAACACACCTATGGGCATACTGTCTTACTAATAAAAATTGTCAGCCTAAGCTAAAGGAGCTGAATTAGTAGATCTAATTATTATCAATAATAAAGGCCCAAGTCATGTTTTTTGCTAACTAAAAGCACAAATTCCAGTCAAACTTCTTGGAATTGGATTTTAATGAAGACTTACCTCCCATGTTAACGAGAGACGGCTCACAGCCACATTGCTCAGTCCCATAATAATAGCAAAAAAGGAATTCAGATTTTTGTATTCCTTACAGCTGAAACACAAAGAACCAGGTTTTAAGTTGTATGTATCAGTCAGGGCAGAAGTACACATGACAACCTTAAGAGAGCTGAACCCATGCATCTAGCATAGATCGACTGTATTTAGGCAGCCCTGGCCTTACATGCCTGCAGCACACCGCTTCACCAACGTGTGAGTAATTCACCACACTCTGGAGGTTCCTTTGCCCTCTCTCCTAAAATGACCTCCTGCTTCCACTTCACTGGTTGACAGCTTCTGCAAGGACATTAGAGTCTCTGAAGCTCCACCCTGCCCAAAAACACAGCCCTAGAACACAAACTAGGCTCAATTCAGTTCTAACTAGGACTTGTAGATTCTGGAACACTTCAGGACGTTTCAAGCGAAAAACTGCCATTCATTATCAGCATCATTAAACAGGTCCTGGATATTAGGAGCTCTAGATCATGCTTAATCCCTAATGCAAAAGAGAAATTTTGTTAACATCAGGAAAAACTGGAACACGTAGCTGAGTATTATGGAAGATCCAATACACCATATGCAGGAGTAGACACATCTGACAGGAACAGCCCACACAACTGCTCAGCTGGGACTGCATCAGGTGGCTCATTGTCTCAATGGGAAGGAAAGAGAGAGAACAAAGCCTGTATCTCATAAATCTGTGTCTCACTAGGTTCCTGCAAATAATTTTCTTTTTCACAACATTTGCCAAGATCTGATTTCAGCACCTCAGTCTGCTAGGTTTTTTGCTGTTTCCTAAGAAAACCTCCACAAGATTCAACCTATGATTCTCAGATAGCTTTTTCTTTATTCATTGCGGAAGCTCTTAGGCTCCTCTGAGGAATCCTCAGCTCCTGACGAAATCAGTACAATCATCAATCCTAGTGGTGGACTCCATAACTGCCACGTCACTTTACTGTTCTTTCTCTCCATTTCACCAGACTCAATGTATTGAGTGGGTGAGTTCTGTAGATCGGGCCTTGCTTGTGCCTGCCCTGTGTGAACACCGAGTGTGTGAGAATTCTCCCATCTGATGGTCTGTTTGTTGGACACTGCTGCCCCCTCAGATCTTCCGGCAGAGCTGCTCATACAAATTCTCCCACATCAGATTAGGGACAGTGAGGAAGATTAGCCAACTTATTCTGACTAGGGCAGGTCAGGGGATGCCTCGTTAGAGGATCTGATGGGAGATGAGGATGAAAAGCAGCCAGGACAGGCTGCGAGTGATAACCTCTTCCCCAGGCACAACTAAATCCAGGATGGGATATCTGTCCACAGCCTGGGACAGTGAGAATAAATTGTGGCACTGAGAAAATAATTAGTACTACACAGCAGTGGTGCTGAAACACGGTAGGCAGCTGCAAATGCATCTACAATATGTAATTTCAATCTCATTTTAAAAAGGGAACGTTTAGCCAAACACCTGTTAAGTAATGTAATTTAGAATTTAAAATCCATCTAGATGTATGACATTCTACATCAAATATTCTGTAAATTCTACAGGCTCTATACTAAATAACTCAGTTCCAGATAGAGGAGCACTGTAAGGTAGTAGAAACAGCGCTGCGTGGCTCCACTGCATATATGCTGCCTGTAAAATGTCAGAAAGTGGATCCTCCAAAGCATCACCGTGTGCACAGAGCAGAGGTCCCTCTCTGCCTCCCAGAACAGGCTGTACTGGAAAAATCTTCCTGTAAGTAAGAACCGTGAAAATACACATGTGCACACACTTGTCTCCAACACAACTACGCGTGCTTAAAACCTCTCAGTACTTACACGAGCATATTGCTCCTGGCATTTTCTCTGTGAACACACACCCTTAAAAACTTCTTACAGGCTCCTTGGGCTTATAACATATGCATGTGTATAGAAAGAATGATTTTCAGCAACTGAATGGGAGCGTCTGAGTATAGTGATACATAAGAAGGTTTCTAAACAGCCTGTGGTATATATGCAAAGCGTAAATACGTGCAAACCCGGTTTGCACATATCCATGAGCATGTGTGCGAGTACATCCTAGAAGGCCTTTCTGATACAATTAATATGGGAAGAACTCACTGTAGGAAACATCATTCACTTTTCCCCTTTGTTTGAAAGTTTAATCCTACAGTGACTGGAGAAAAGAGATGAACCTGGTAACCTCTACATTCTTTCCCTGCAGATGCAAAGACAACAGCAGCTCCCAGAACTGAAAGCACACGTACACAGCACTTGGAGCCAGCACTTGGCATTGTGCTTGCCCGCACAGACAGGGAGCACACATCACAGGGTGCGTGGGGTGGCAGGCACAGAACGATGTGCCTTCTGCGATGGCTCCTGAGCCCCAAGGTACAGAACTGAAACAGGGCTCTCAGCTAGCTTTGAAAATCAGTATGCGCAAAGCACCTTGTTACCATCAGTCATGCCTAAAATTAATAGTGCAGCACTGAGCTGTTCTCCCCAAACACTTTTCTGAGGAGCCTAGTGCTTCTAGGTAGGGTACGGTTCTCATTAGGTCTCTTCACAAGCAAAACTTCCTCGAAAGCCCCCCTGCTTCAAGGCCGGGGCCCACATCTTTTGATCCAGTTCCTTGCCTTTTTGTCCCACTAACTTCAGTGCACTTGTGTTTGTTTTACCGTATGCTGTGGTACCTGTTCCCATGGCAGCACTGCATGTGCTGAGGGCAGCAGCCTGCCAAACTTCCCTGTGGCCTTTCCAGCCGCTGCAATTCAACCTGCCTGCTCCGTCTGCACGGAGGAAAACCTTGTGCCTTGCATTGCTCTGCTGGTAGGAGACAAAGAGGGCTCAGCAGAGCAGACTTCTTTTAGCTGTTTATTTTTAGCATTGTAGTGATACCAGAAACATGGAAGTAAACAGGAGGTTGTCAAGCTGTTGTAAATAGCATAGGATTAAACCCATGACACTGAGGAACCCACAGGCGAGGGCAGTTTATTAAGGAGATATTTAACTGTAATTTTTAGGATGGTTGATTTCAAGTGTTTATGGAAATGACTATTGTTTCTTAATTTGCCACATTTCAACGTTTTCCCGTTTCATGCCTGAGTTCAGAACAAACCCAGATGCCTCTGTGTGCGGGTGCCAGTGCCCTCTCCTGGACACAGCCCGCAGGCCGGCAGCTTGCTTCCCAGTTCCTCTCTGCAGAATGACATAATGCAATATGCGGTATATATGTTTTTAGAAACTAGAGAGGTAAATTCTGTCCTCTGTTCTGAATATAAGCCTGGTCCTGCGTGCCCACCACTAGAGTTTGAAATCGTCAGCTTCGACCAACCGTAATTTGACCAGAGAGCCCAAAGCAGTTCCCAGAGGAAGCCGGTACTGGCAGAGCAGGGTCCTTCCCAGAGAAGGTAGGCACGCTGATGCAGAGTTCTGATGTGAACCCTGATTTCAGCTATGTGGAATTACTAACTGGGAGGAGGGTGGCACACAGCTCTAATAGTAACCTCTTCCTTCACACAACTACATTCAACGATACCAACTTACGGTTTAACTGCAAGTAAGAATTTCTTTGTTTGGCAAGACTGTCTAATGGCCACAGCATCCAAAGGCATAGACACTTACACAGGCAGTTCCTCACTGCACACCTCAGCCAACTGTTTGTTCCGACAGTGATGAATGCAATAAATACACCATGGACTGCAAAGTAAGGAAGCAGGTAACGGTGATATAAAACTACAGCTATGCAGGGGGCAGGAGCACATCCCTGCTCCCTCTCCATCACACCCTTGCTTCAGTGATAAGGAGTCAAGGCCAACACCTTTGGCATGAAGTCTCCAAGGAGTTTAAGTCTTATTAAGAATGAAATGAAAGAATAGAAAAAAGCAAGAACTGCCTGTTATCCAAGTTCAGACCCAGCAGTTAGTAACAAAAAAGGATATTCTTGCTGTTGTATTTTCAAACAAAAGTATTAGAAAAATATCCCAAGAAGCCTGAAGGTAACATAAGCCTCATCATCTCCATACTACATCTCTTTGCTCTTCCCTCTTGATTTTCCCACTCAGAGCAATTCTGAGAAGAGTCTTCCTGAACAGCACCAGAAACACTGCTGTTCTCAGGAAAATTAAGGCTCAATTTTGTTAATATTTACTAGTTCGCATATTAATATTTGCTAATGCATGTAAGGGTAAATGAAGGATCCTCCTAATGAACTGAAACATATTTACTCACAAATTTGATGTGAAAGCATGGCCCTAAGAGATCACAGATCAAGGAGCAATGGAAAGTAGGACATGAAAAAAGACTATAAACAAGGTTCGATACAGCTCTATAAGGAAATGGACAGAATTACCAAATAGAGAACATTTTAATCTCTGCTGTGTGGTTGTCTGAAAACAAGAAAGAAAAATGACAATAAATTAACTATACTGAACCTCATTTGCAGTTCACAGATGATTGTATACTTACTGGGCTGCTATCTTTATGTACTTCTTTAACAGCTGAACACGTTTGCTGAGTTGAGCACAAAGACAAATCTCAGTGACCACCCAGAACTGAATTTCATTAAATCTTCTTAAAAACAAGTCCAGATTTGCTGTGGTTTTTTTAAAATTGTGCCTCCCAAAAGTGTGATAAATCAGTTCCAGCTAGGAAAAAGAAAATAGTTTGGGATATTTTGTTTTAGAAATCTCATCTTTTGGACAGAGGAAAAAGGCTAAGAATGACCAGGTAAGTATCTAGCCTGAAACTTGCCCTACAGTTTACCTTTATTGTTGTAAATGACAAGGATGCAGGTTGCAAACCCAGTAGACAATAGCTGAGGCATACTAAAAGCATAGCTACAAACTACGTATAAATAGTTTAATACCTTAAAACATACAAAAGCAATTCAGTAAGCAGCACAAGCGCAGGAGAAGTTTAACTTTATTTTTGCATTTTGCCTAAACCATTAAGAATGCCTCATACTTTCAAAACTTGTAGGTGGCTTTATTGTAGTATTTTTGAAGATCAAGCTTAGAGCAAGTTTTGCAAGTTATGCACAAACCTACAATGTGAAACTAAACATTTTCTACCAGATTCTAATCTGCTGAATAGAATAGACCCTCATACCTCATGCACGCAGTTGAAGAGCTCCCAGTCATAAATTGTCATCTGATGTGCTATGTCTTTGGAGCTCATCAGTTCGAACGTTCCTACTGTACCTGTCGATGGTCCTTCCTGTTCTGGTAATGGTGCCTACAAATGGAAAAATGTCATAAAAATATTTTAGAAATACTACATTCCATGACTGGTGCTCTTCTTCCATAACATTTCTGACCTTTTTTTTCCCTATGTGACCACTTTCCTAAGCACGTTTCTAATAGCAAAAATGAAATCTGCTTTTAACCACAGGCTGGCATTTAGGAAATGAGAAGCCCTGTGCAAAATCAGTATCCATTATGCACAGGATAGTCAGGAAAATTCTGAAAGCTCTTCAGAGGCACTGTAAGGAAATAACACAGACTGTTCTCAGTGTGTTATTTTTAGCATTGTTCTAAAATTTGAAGCCAGAAATAAATACTTCAATGCACGTTGCACTAACTAAAGCATGTCTGTTTAGGAGCATAGGTCTTTCCACAAAGCTTTTGTTATCAGTTTCCTTTTTTGTATACATAAATATCTAGACCACAAAGCATAATCCAAATGCTTCTGCAAAATTATTGACTCTAGTGATGAGAATTATTACATCTGCCATATTTCAGAAATCTGCAGTGATTGTAAGATCTTCTGATCATTTATAAAATAAGCCTCATACTTTCTCTCTGACAGTACAGGGATGCACTATTTGGGACTGCAAAACTCCTGGCTATGCTAATTAGAATTATACGCACAGGGTCTTAGGAGAAAGAATCCTTAACATTCAAGTTAAAACATTTTTGAAAGACACTTCCATACCACCCAGAAAATGAGATGAGGTACACAGTTTTGCAGACAAGTAAATCTTGTGTCAAAGAGATTTAAAACACGACTTGAGATCAAGTCAGATTTGAAGTAGTAGCTTCCTGAGAACCCACGTTTTAATTGTTTTGTTTCCAGGAGAGGGCAGTAGAGTTCACTTACAAGTTTCTCAATTTCTCATAGGGCCTTTGTTAGCTAATTATGGAGTAGGGAATTATCAACAGGCTCCTTTCCGAGTACAAACTCAATAGAGTCTGCAAGATTAACAGATCATATTTACATTTATCCTTTTATGTAGGATGATTATATTATCAATAGAAAAAGGACAGACTGGATTAATACATCAAATCACACCCTCAATAACGCGCAGCATGTAAGAGCATTTCTGTATGAGTTCCTGCTTTGTACTCTAAAGAAAACTTGCCTTTCAAATCATAGAATAATTTTAAATTATTAAGCTAAACCACAGACATTATTACCTTAAAAGCTTCATCCACAATTTTAAAAGAAAAAACTGTATATAAGTATTATCTAAAAAAAAACCAGGACTGCCATCAATCTTATAACAGTCTGCAGATTGCTCTGCATCGAGATCTGCACAAACACAGCACTTCTTCAGTCTAAGAGTATGAAATAAAAGTTGAGCATTTTGGTGTAGAAAATCCTAAATTTGTGGAAATCTGTGGAAAGAGAATTGCCCGAAGACTGAAAGAAGTCTTTTTTCCCCTATTTGGAGACAAACACAACATAGCTGTTACCATAACAAACACATATTTTCCAAGGCTAGGAAAAAAGCACTTAGAAGTAAGCTCATTGCGTATCTGAAAATTAATCTAACCCAGAACAATTTTATCACGGGAATCGCCAAGTGTAATGTGAATAAATGTACATGCATAGGCAGCAGCCACAAACTGAAATGTGAAGGGATTAAACTGAGAGGCAAGTGAGGCTGGAACATTCTGCAATTTGTTTATGCCTATTTGAAAAAATGCAGCCGATAAAGGGATGTATTCTGTCACGCAGTGTTGAGAACCTTTTTTAAGGTGCTGAGTGCTCCTCCCTAACTACTACTGAAGTCAGTCCAGTTGAAGAAAACTAGCACGTTGCATCCCTTTATTTTAAAGCTCATTCTAGCATTCTGAATACTTGATCCATGGTAAATAGCATCGGGGAAAAGGCACAGAAAGTCATGACAATTTCCTGCCAAAGCTATATCTACACAGACAACGCAGAGACATATAAAAGTACCCAGCACAGTTGCACTGATGCAACACCCCTGCTTTAGAGTCTCATGCCCCATGAGGGTATCTACTTGGCAGGATTAATTAACCTTAAGGGAACATCAGAATTTAATAAACTGAACAAGAGGTATCTCTGCATGGCACTACAGTATGCTGGATGTGCATTCCCTGGTTACTAAATTGAAAGCAGCAGCAAAGCACAGATTTTACCATATCTATAAAAAAATCAGGCATACATACTAAGTGGCTTGTTAAAAGCATACAGGAGGCTGAAACAAGGCTAGGAGTAATAGAGTTCATGCTGACACGACTTGGCAATGACATTTGTTTTTAATGAAATAAAAGGAACAAAAAGTACAGTCAAATCAAATTCTATAAAAGTAGATCCCATGGAGATTGTTAGAATTACTGTATAAACCCTGAGTACTTATGAACAATTCTACCTAAGAAAAAACAGACTCTCTACCAGGAATATTTTCTGTGAATATACTTAGAGTCATCTGAGATTCTGACACAGTATTTTGTGGGGCTGAGAAATAGAATATTTTTAGCAATTTACTGTTGGAATCAAGTCCTCAGAATGCTTTAATTAGTAAGATCCATCTTCAAAAATATCTATCTGTGGCCTTGAGTAGATACTTCTGTAATCAGGAATTTCTGCATATCTTAGTGACAACATTCAGACCTACCTAAATGCTCAGTGTTGCAGAATACTGAGATCGAGTGCTGTCATGTGCATCGGGTGGATTTCTGCTCTAGTTTAGGGAATTACATTACCTTGTTTTCATTTTGGGGCTCATCCCACAGCACTGTGACAAGCCCTCTGTTGTGAATGTTTCCACTAGTTTTTCATCTAAAGCATGATAATGCAAAAAAGGTCAAGTGTTCAAATAAAGAGAAGAACTGAACTTCCTGAGAACTGCTACATACATACCAATGAATCAAACTGATCCCGTGGGCAAGCAAACAGTCGTCCATTAACACTCAGAGTCGTAAACACTGAAACATCATGAGGTTTGAGCACAACCTTTTCTGTAACCATGAAACAACAGATTGTTTATTATATAAACAGTCATGATATATATGTAGAATTTACAGCAGGACCGATCCAACAGCTGCACAGATCACACTTCTTGGAACAAATTTTCCACAGTTAACCAATGTCCAGGACAGAAAACAGATAACAACAAGGTCCTTTCTATTGAAGAAATGTGACAACAAGCTCAGCCCAAACCAGTCTCCTACGAAACTGGAATATGTTAACAGAATCTTTGCCCCAGACCGTACAGACAGGTCAAGAAGCCTGTGCTGCCATCTCTAGAAACTGCCTGCGAAAATTCAACCATAATTAGGGATTCCATTCATTCTTCTCTGAGCTGTGAGCATTCAGAGAGCTACTCTTAATAGAAATTGCCTTAGAAGACAGTAACTGCATACGAAGGTGACGAAATGCAACTGTATTCAAATCTCATTGCAGCAGTTCTGAAAGAGCTTTTACTCCCAGGTAAAGAAAAGATAATAAAGTAACACAAAACAGTCTCTTCCAGCATGTGTTGCCTTTCAGGAAATCTGACAATAGAAGTATTGCTGCAACTGCAAAAAAGGAGAGCCGCCTGGTGTCAGTTTTCAGGAAGTGAGCTGGCTTTGGCAGGCACCACTGTTTGCAAAAATGCCTTCAAACACAGCTCTTATTAGCTCTGTGTGTGTCCACACAGGTGTCTACACAGTCACACTCAACCAGAGCACTTCAGCAACACCAGTTCTGCAGCAGAATTCACCTTGCAGTTACTCTCCCATTCCCACAGTCTACAGTGGGGGCCTGACTCCTGACCCCTTGCAAATACTAGGTCAGTGGGCTTGGCACTAAGTTGCTCAGTAATGGTTTGCATGGACCGAGCAGCCAGAAATGGTAGTGACCAGCAATGGAAAGTCTGCACTACCGTGTTTCCTGCTGTTGCTGATACGTATGTCTAGCCTGACATTACCCACACTTACCTCCTATTTCTGTTGCTAATATCTCCTGCAAGTCTTACAGTGACAGAAACCTGGGGTAGCTCTGCTCTGTAATATGAAGATACACAAGCTTTTCCTGTCTCCCATACGAGTTTCAGCCTGTGCCTGCAGCAGGCAAAGGACTTGCCTCTGAGTCAGAACCTGAACATGCACATTGACATAAAAGCCTTGACTGACTTAGTCTTTCAATCCCTTCCAAAGCTCTGCTTCACCGTAAGCAGGAAGAGTTTAAGATATGCAAATACAATACCTCCTCCTGAGCTCATCTTTACTATGATGAGGCCTTCTCCAGATCCCAGCTTATCTGCTACTGCGCTGATCACTTCCTTCACAGAGGAAGAGACTGGCACCCGGATAGTGGTGTAGGTTTGGTCTATGCAGTACACCTTAAACAGAACTAAAGAAAAAAAAATGTGCTGTGCATGTCACATGTAATAACCACAGAGACTTCATTGTACAAATTACTATCATTTCAGTAACCACTCCTCACAAACGAAACAAAGCAACAATAAATCATTACAAGTTTGATAGCTCCCCATTCCTCAGATGTTCTACAGTTTCTAGGACAGAAATCTCTGATTTCCCAGAGCTTTTAGCAAACCATGCATATGAGTGTTTCAGTATTGCTATGTTATTTATGGATGCCAATTTAATCTGGCACTTTGTTATGTTCCAGACGTTATAATATTTTAAATTAATACTTCTTTTCAAGTCAGAAAACTGGCTGCAAACTCTCTTAATTAGAGGAAAATAATTTTCATATTTATAAAATAGATGTGAAAATAGTTTTTGTTAAAATCAGAACTTAAATCCAGCTGTGTTGCAACCTGGCTTGTACAAGCAAGTATGTAATTCCTGAATCAAGAATGTTGTAGACTAAGAAGAAGAATACTCCGACAATAAGAATACACTTAAGTGTACAGTACAAATTGGCTCACAGAGTAATATATGAACCCAGGCCTCCGGCTGCCTAGAAATCAGTATCACTTAGCCTACATTAGCATGCAATGTACATTAGCCTGCAAAAAGCAAGGCAGCTCAAAGTGACATGACTTTAACAGAGAAAACACTAGATCCTCCAAGCCAAGCCAAGCAGCCCCTGGGGTATGAGCTGTCCATGGATAATTCAGTGGTCAGTGTGCTGCCAGCTCCACACAGCAATAGGAAAGGGGCAGTTATTGCCTATCCCTACAGGCACAAGTTGTACTTTCCTGGCAGCAGCAACTGTTTCACTCTTTTGTAGACCTAGAAGAAACACTGTTCTGGACAACAGAAATTGCATGCCTGGCAGGATGTCTGCTGTTCACGTGCAGTTACTTTCAGCCTTTGAAATAGCTCTTTCATTGGTTTGACTTATGCCACCAGCTTTCTCAGTTATATGACCTTGTATTTTGTTCCCTTATTTTTACTATTGTTCACTAGCAAGAGCTATCCTTTAATATCAAACACCTTGAAGAAGAAGTTATTTTCTGTGATGAAGATGCACCAAAACAACCACTGAGAGACTGGTCTTAGCAGTCCCAAAGAAATCATCAGATTTATGAGGTTTAAGCGGCATGTATCTTTGTATAAGCAACAAACAGATCTCATCAGCAGAGCTCAGGATTTTGCTCACATAGCAGTGCTTTAAGCAGTGCCTGAAGTAAAAACATGAAAAGCAAGTACAACTGAAAATGTTATTCTGATACACTGCTCTAAATTTTGTCTTAATCTCTTCAGAGAATGAAACAATAGAATAGGGCAAACCAGCAGATTTTGTTTTCTAGGCAGTGTGCCACAGGGCAGAAATCCACAGCACGATTATCTCCTCCATTTGTCTCTCAAAGGAGCAGCTGTACATGTTAGTTTAAACTACACAGGGGAGACAGAGTCTCAAACATGACCTTCAGCACCCACTATTTATTGCACTGCCATTAGCTGCAGAACACTGTCTGTACTGATTCTCACCCGGTTTGTTCATTCCTTATTTTAAAGGTTTCTACATCTGAGGAAGCACAGTGTTTGATAGCACCAGTAACTAAGCAAAAAGACCAGGACACTTCAAATCAATGGTGGAGAATATTGGGCTACCAAAAGCAGAGTTTCCTTCAGGCCAGACTTCAAAAGTGTAGGTAGGTGCTTTTGTTTATTTTAAGACCATTTTGGACGAGAGACAAATTTACTGCAAATCTCAGTGGCTCAAGAAAACTTTGCAGGGAAGGCACTCACCTTCGTCGCTACCCCTGATAGGCTGGCGTTTCTGTGCTCTGTCATCACTTGTGTTGAACAGCTGCAGAAGAACTTTGTGCTGAAAATGAATCATCAGGATTCAAATTAATGCAAACATTATGGGGTAGACATGAACTACAATGGTCTCTTATCAATGACAGGAAAAAGAGTAGCAATGCAAAATTTGACAATGTTAAAAGCTATTTCTCAATGTGTTGTTTTAATATATCCATGATTTCTATAGAGTAGATGCTAATGGATTTGCTGTGTTACAGCACTGACTTTAGAAAATGGAAAAAAATACATTATCTTACCTTCTTCTGTGATGCTTTAGGTTCTTCAGAACTATCAAAAGGTAAATCACAGAATATGTAATTATATATTATTGGGAAGATTTTGTATACAAAATCACACATAGAACATAGACCACTTGTCAAACTACAATATCAATAATGTTTGCATATATGAAAAGACTCGATGACACCATAGTTACCTATGACTATGCAGGGAAAATACTATACAAAGTCCATGTAAGCATGAAATAAGCATCCAGTTTAGTTTCAGTGGTGTGTACATAATTTCTTATTCCTTCTGTCAACCTTTCAACAAGATTTTGGCGTTTGCAAGAATGATGTGGAAAGAGAGAGCCATAGACATTCATTCAAACAAACTTGCATGCAAACATTTAATCTTGTATGACTGCCATTCACAGAATGGATTTTTAAGAGATAAAGCCAACACATTTTCTTCATTTATTTACTGACAAAAAGGGTGGGGGAGTAAAGAATCAAAAACTGTGCTTACACTTGCTTTACAATTTTCTCTAGCTCTGGAAGCTGCTCCTTTAGTGCTGCAATCATTCTAGTATCATCTGATACAGATACATAAAATTCCTGTAAATGATACAAAATAGTCTTTAAATAACTATAGGGGTAAATGAGCAGTACTCAGGATAGAGGATTATGAGATGACATCTGATCGCTTAAGGATTATAAAGAATTGTAATCTGCGTAGAGGAACACATGCTGGGCTCAACCCTCTATTACTTCTACTTGTTTACCTCCAGCTGATTTAAAGCAAGTTACAGATGCAGAAGGGAAGCCTGATGAGGCTCCTTCACACACTGTGTAACCACTGACTGCTTGTGCAAAAGCTGCATTTTCAGATTATCAATAGTAGACTATAAAATTAACAGATAATCTGGTGTGATAGCTTTTTTTTACCCACTAATGTTGTAGTTCTTAGTGATTAATTTGTTATGGAGTTGTTTGAGTCTCACCTACTCCAATCCACTACAATACTACCTCTTTTAAAGCCTACTCAAATCTCTTCCTGCCACACACCTACATCACACTGTCCCAAAGAAGGATCTGTATGATTGCAACTAGTAATCGTTCTTTAACTTCTGGACTAATGAAAGAGATTACGTCTGTCTCCAAAGCCTTTCTATTATAAAAAGCTTTCCCATGTGGGCTTGCTGTTACATCTGTCCTACTTAAGCTCTCTCTCTATTCCCCTTTCCTAACTCTTACATTAGATTCATTTTTGGGGGCAAGAACTTCCATGCAGTCAGTAACACACATGATCGTGTTCCATAAACACAATATATAATAATAAACTGCAATGATGACAATTTAACATGACTTTGGCAATGCATCTTACCTTAGAAATACAAGACTATAGCACATGCCATACAAGCAATGTCTGAATTACTAAATGATTTTAAGGGATCAGAAGGGTTCTGAAGACAAAGATCTTAAGTTCCACTTGCTGCAGTACTGCTTTCATTCAAATGAAACGGATTGCTGGTTTTGTAGAGTGAGAACCCTCCACCTTCCTTCCTGGCACACCTCAGGAAGGCATAAACAGACCCCCAGTTCAACCTGTACAGCCTCTGAGCTATTCACAAGAAAAATATTAAAAAAATAAAGCAGATTTATCTATTGCTATAAAGTATCTACCCATGCAGTGCTTTGAAAGGGGTCTGCAACTCTGGCAGGTATTTTCAGAGGTCCAGAGTTTGACAATGGTTCAACCACTGTTGTAGTGCATATACTGTCTGCAGCTAAACCAGATAAAACAGTTATGAGTTTGCACTTTGAAATGACTTATTTCTCTTTAGTTCATAACAGAATTCTACAGACTAGAAACAGGCTTTCAGCTTATCTTGCATGGTAGGTACTTTTCAGTACAATGATACAATTCCTTTATACCTCCAAAAAGGCCATTGCTGCTTCATCTTCTTGTAGTAAATCTCCATATAAAGCAGCCCACTGCAGAACCAGTCGAATGACTCGCCTTTTATTGTTGAGGGCATAATCCATTTTCTCCTGCTCTGTACCCTGGGAAGGCTGGGCATGATAGGTGCCATGGTGTCAAGGAAAATGCTCAGTGATTGAACATATCAAAACCAGTGTGAATTCACAAACAACTGACTTCCAACGAACCATTTTCAGGGTGTTCAAATGTAACTTTCCAATATATACTTTTGATTTTGGACTGCTGCTAGCATAAAGACTTGTGAACCTTTCACATTCATACTAAAAAGTAAAAAGACAGCGAATTCTCTAAAGAGCACAGGAATGATCACAATCTCACCACAGAGACAGTTGCTGTAGGGGAGCAGGACAGAAATGACAATTGGAACAATAGAGAAGAGGATTAATCATGGAGACTGAAGAAGGGCATTTCTCCTTGTTCTTTGGAGACAGCTGAAGAAAAAGAACACTTGGTGTTTATTAACAATTCCAGTCTTCCATTTGTGAATGGGAATGAAGCACCAGTGTTACTCCTTTTATTTTTAGAAGTTACTGTAACCCAAGGTGAATCTCAGTCCCATTATGGCAAGGGGACCAGGAACTTTACCCCATAGAGATATGGGGTAAAATAAAAAATTCTGTAGTGGCCTCATCTTACACATGAGGAAAGCAGAAGTTTCCACTCTATCAAATAAAGCATATTTGGGTCACAATACTTTGTGATAGCTATTTTGTGGTAAAGAATAAGAAAATATGGGAAACATTTCATTGAGCTTTTTCATGATTGAGTGTCAACATAACAAAAATATGCAAATGTTTTTGGCAAAAAGGCCAAAAGTAACATTTATTGAAAGCAAGAAACCAAGAAAAAACTAAAGGCACAATGGGCAACAAACTGAGATAATTTCAGCTTTTAACCTATGTAAAAATGAAGAATAATCCCCAGCAGAAATAGAACATGAAGATTTGTGTGCCTACTTCTCACTGATCAGAAGTTAACAATGTATATTTAATCTGTTTCCCAATAAACTGATAGCTGAATGTGAAGTAAGCACTGAATGAGTTCAGTTACATCTTCAGCTTTTCTTCCCAGATACCAAAATTCTGATTGTCATGAATAATATTATTCCCACTTACATAGCAATGTTCAATATTAACAGCTGACATGCTTTCACTCACAGCAAAGTCCATTATCCCCTCACGGTGCTCTTTCAGTTGTTCTAACAAAAGATTTAAAATATTCATTAGAAAATTAAATATTAATTAGAAATCAAATGTACCTACTTATTTTAAGCTTCTCATATAGAAGCATTTGTCTAAGAAATACTAATAAAATATCATGTGAAAAAGCAGCTCATGCTTTCTGAAAGATCCTCCTGCCCCAAATCCCTTGCAGTGATTTGACATGCTACCAGGGTTACTGGGGCACTCATTTGACTGACAAAATTTCTGCATTTTAATTTCACCCAGACAGGTTTAAGATGACTAAACATGTCAGTACATTTATGGGAGTACATAAGTCAAAGGGTCATAAGAAGTAAATAATTTATGGTAAGCTATGTACTCTCATGTCTCAGGGAACAAGTCTAACATTCTACCGAGTAGTTTTTGTCATGGCATTTTTACCTTTTAAAGACTGTAATTATTTAATGCATTTTTATTTTATTAACTGACTCACCACAGCGAATGGTAATTTTTCTGTATTTTTACTGTTCATTTATAGTAACTGCTCCTTTATTAACATTATCATAGGGAGAGTCAATGAAGGGTTCTCCCATTTTTATGGGACCTACAGGATGCAGCTTCATGGCAAAGATCATGCATACTTGCAACAAGTGTCAGATAATTGTAAAATATTTATCAACACCAACATGGTTAGAGTTCAATATATATCTTTCTAGTTACATCTAGCATATGCTAGGAAATGGAAGCGATTCTGAAGTCTGTTCTTCCCTGCATGGGAACACTTAACTGTATCAACAGCTGTGCAAAATCAGCACCCATTACTACAGCAGAATGCTAACTATTTTGCTGGTATGACGGTAAAGGAGGTTCACAAAATATACGTACAGGAACACACTAAAGGACTACCATCTACAGAAAGCAAAAGAGGAGTTAATACTTTGAAAGTTTTTAGAGAGTGCTCCTTTATAGATGCACACCTGCACACATGATCACACACTTGCACTATCCCAGGTGCACTTTTGGAGGTGCTACTCTATTTCAAGTATTTTTTATGACTTTGTCCTGCCTCCCTCTGACAAGCTGTAGCTCTGAGAATTTGTCCATTTCCATCTCTGTGTAGAAAATAGGGGAACAGGGGCCTTGGTCCAACAGACAGCATGGCAGGGGGCTTGGAACTAGATGATCTTAAGGTCTTTTCCAACCCTAACCATTCAATGATTATCTAGCACTACTCATATTCATATGCTGCCAGATAAAATAGTAACATAAGTTGGTATAGGAAAATAGACTTATATTGATTTAAAATTAGGAGCTGGAGCAAAAACAGTGTTTCTGACTGAATCACCTCCCTTCTTGTGTTTTGATTTCCTAACTGTACACAACTAATCTCTCCTTAGTATCTCAGCACCAGCAAACCTTTTTGTAGACTGATTTTGCTCAGAAAAGATAAGCTTTGTTAGCAACCTTTCAACTCTTAACTATAAATTTCAATGGTACAATCAACAGAGCCTGGTTTGATTTTCCATATTCAGAATGGACCAAATAAATAATAATTCAGCTCTAGGAAAAGCTGACACTAAAGCAGTGGGATACACAGTTACTTTCAGCCCTCCTTTTCCTCTCTGAAAAGAATTAGCATGATGCTTGCCAAAACCCACTTAAGACTGCGGTCTTACCCTGTTCTCCAGAATACATTTCATCATAACTGAGTATGTATACATAAGTAATGCTACCACTTTGGTCTTCAGAAAAGCTTTTGCCCTATAAACAATGAAGTACATTTTGCTTATGCATCTGATTTTCCCAGTTACTGGATATCAGAGGTATACTATTATACCTGAGGATAGGCAATTCTGAGTCTCAAAAGGACCGACTGAGTAACACAAGCTAGATAAATCAGAGAAAAACCCTCAAAACAAAAAGTTCCGTCCTTTCCTTTCCCTCTCAAAGCTGTCAGCAACAGCATTTCATATCCTTTTGATATCCAAAACTATGTGGTTCTGGAAAATGTGTTTTTTTCAGGTGTACGAACAATTTTCTGCAGACCACTTTTATGGGTCCAAAGGTTTTAAAAACGATTACTGTCCTTGCTAGGAGTAACACAAATGGATTCTCAAGCTTGCCAGACAAGGACATGATGCTCTATTTTGTTGTTTCAAGGGGTTAGCTTTCCTAGATGTCACTCGCCCCACTGAGCTTCAAGGAAAGCATACTTTTACACCACTCTGATTCTAAAAAATAAATAGGGAATTGAAGTTATTATACCCCTGTCAGAATTCTATAAACCAGAAAACATTATATGTTTATTTAATGCTCCCAGTCACTTGATAGCTTCAAGTCACTGTGCACAGGGAAAACTCTCAGTGCCCAGCAGCTCCCCAAACTAAATGACTTGCCACAAACTGGCTGATGGACATTTCACAGACTCCTCCTGTAAAACATGCAGACAGTATGAGAACCACCTCCAGCAACTGATGCTATCCATTGTAAGCTTTTATCTCATAAGTATTTGCATGCAATTGAAATTTCTTTCAGTTTGTCAACATTTGCTATAGATCATTATTATTAGAGATTATTATTATTTTCATTGATAACTATTATGACAGCACCTAGAAACTGCTTACCCATTATTCTACTAGTTTAGGTACCCTTTTGCCTGAAGCAGTTTTCAGCTTGTAATCTATAAAGTAGACCATTGAAATCACTAAAACATAATGATCTCAGTTAAAATCTAGGTGCTGTAGCTCAGCAAAAGAAAACAAAAACAAACAAAAAAGAAAGGATACAGGAAGGGTAATCCAAACTTTTATGTAATTTCATTTATCTGGTGGAGGAGCAGTACATTTCTTTCCCTTGGAATAGTAATCAGCACAGGAAAGATACAGTTTTCATGCTTCAGGACTGTATCTCATCATTGGTATACACTATCTATTTCATAGTTGTTGAACTATGGATAGCTCTTCATCAGACACTGAGAACCTACCCACAAGGCACAGCCTCCATGAAACGTGATGTACTCCTTGAGAGAGAGAAGCTTCAGTCTCATCACCAACAGGGATAGCTGTTAAAGGCATGTAACTTTTCCCTTACAAAAGGATATTGTGCCATCAAGGCTGGGCAGAGCTGACTATTTGGCATAAAAACACAGTGCATCATAATAAAATCATTTAAAACAGAATCTGTGAAAAGAGAAGAAAGAAAACAGTCCATTAAGCCCTTGCAAACAGCTTGGGGATCACAAAGATGAGTTTTCTTCCCACTGAAGTACCTTTTTCTCCCTCTGCTGATAATAAAGGGGTCTTTTTGCAGTTTGTTTGAAGGTATTAAGTATGAAAATGGGGAATGAACAAATACGAGCTGTAATACTAAGCTTTCATTCTTGTCTGCATGAATTTTACTGCACTGTTGTTAACAGGCATTTGCTTGTGTCAAAGGGAAATTTGGCACAGCAAAAAATCCCCAACAAAACAACATCTGTGCTACAGTGAACCATTTGGATACAATTACATTAAAACATATATGACCAATATGACGGACATTTTCTCTGGCAAAAACCAGCAAGCTATTTTTAATGTTAAAATGATCTGTGGTAGCGCTGGTGTAAATCCCAATTTGCCTTGTCTTTGCATTTGTGACAAGAAAGATTTATGAAGCCTGGCTGCAGAGGCCAGAATAAGTTTGGCAGTGAGACTAAACTGTTTCTTACTTTTAAACTATGCAAGTCTTATATGGAACCACTAAAAAAAAATAAACACAATACCCTGGGTATCATTTCTATGTGCAACTTTTGAGAAACAGAGAAACACTTAAAAACCCCTGTATGTAACAGGGATGTCAGGAAAATTATGTTGACTGTGGAATGCAGTATTACATCACGGCTTCCACCATAATTCATGTATGAAAATACCTCCCAGTTGACAAAACTAACCTCCAGAAGGGTGGGACTTTTTCTTTCCATAATATCCAGTGCAAAGTGGATTTTAACAATTCTTAAAGGAATGCATAAACTAAAAATTTGATTTTACAGCACTCTGAGCTTCTATACCTTAAATATAGCTTTGCTTGTGAATTGTGATGTTTTGTATCCCATTAGGATATACCTATAATCTGGTCATTGGATGTTTGGGGGAAAATTTTAAAAGATTTCAAAATAATTCATTTTAGAAAATTGTATAATACACAGATACTATGAATAGCAAATTTCTGATTATATACTTGTCAGCTTAAAGAACAATATTCTGCTTGTAATCCTAATAAGCAAGTGTCTGCGAAGGCTGTAATTTTTATTCTTAAAAGTGGTTAAAACACACACTGTAAAAGGATTTATGTAATCTTTCAATTCTTCCACCATCTATGAACCACTATATAAGTTTCTGCAGTATGATGAGGTCATTAACAGATTACCTGGATTTTAGAATGCATTTGAGTATACACTCCTTAGACATCTGCAATGTAAAAAGAACTTGCTAAAGTGATATCATGTAGCTTAATATAAAACTCTGTCCATTACTTTACCATAATTAGGAGGAATATTTTGTGTCTGACTCTTTTTTAAAAATTAAAGTACTTACTAACAGTAAGTCAGCAACTATCTGTATCCCTGGACATAAATTCTCTGTTCTCTTTACACTAATGAAAAGCAGCCTGTTAAATGCAGTTGCAGCAACCTGCATTTGTAGGACTTGACCCATGGTGTTCTGAGTTCTTCTGAGTAACAATTTTTCTTCCCCTGAAAATGGGAAAGTATCACAAACCAGTATTTTAAACTATAATACTTTAAGTGTGATATGGATATGAAAATTTGGGAATATTTATATTAGCATAATGCAATGGCTGAAGGTATCAAGCTGGTTCTCAGTATTAAGTGACATCCAAAACTAGGAGTATGAGTACGAGTATCACCGGGTGGTAATGCATGCTGTATCCTGGTCTTAGAGTTGTGCCTAATCAAAGTCATGACCAGTGATCTGGCACCTTTTGGGATTTTACCGCTCTACTCCGAACCAAAAGTAGAGGTACAATAGAATGGGCTTGTTATCTTTACGTCTAGATTTTACTTCTAGATTGTTATCTTTAATTCTAGATTTCCTAGGTTTTCTTAGGGTTGTTACAGAGCAGTGGATAGTTCTTGCTCTGGAAAAAAAACCTATCACTGTCTGCTTTTCAAAGTGTCATACTGCAGTATTCCCCCAGAAAGAATATCTTATGAAGTAATAATAACACAGCCTTTGTCATGTAGATACCTGTTGCTTCATTTAGAGTTGCTTCAAGGCGCATAGTTTCTAGAAAGTGCTCTAAAATTTTCTCAGGGGTTCCTGACATCACAATATACCTGAGGGAGGGAAAGGAACAGTTAGTCTCATAGGCAAAACAGCTAATAAAGAGCTGTGTACCAGTCAGAAGACAAGGACTGCCAAGTGCCAGTGTACAAATAACCTTCTCTGACTGGAATCTTGGTGTGGTTTAGGACAAAACCAGTGACACTCTTTGCGGCCTTCCCCCTGTAAAGTGGGAGCAGTAACACTCTCTACCTTACCCAGGGAATATGAGATGACAGGCAGCCTCCTCCCCACACAAGTACTCCAGTATAACACCACCCTAGTTACACCACAATCAGCAGAGCTGTACTGGTGCAGACCTGAGGAAGTGCAATCAGAAATGCTTCTCCACTCAGAAAAAGTATCTCAGTAATGACAGCAATTGAATAGCATTAGAGGGTCCTAACAGACTCACTATGAGGATGAAATGAGAACTGGTCTCTATTAGTGTCAGAGCAAGGAAACAAATTCCTTTGCATCACTAACAGGGTCTGAGAAGATGGGGACAGATAACGAAATAACACACTGTATCTTCAAATTTGTGCAATGCCTTAGATAGTGGAAGTAAGTTTTTCAAGTGAATAAACACAGGAGTGTACCATTTCCTGGAGTAAACAGGGAGGTAAGACAACTAGTGTAACAGTCAGTTTTTTCTGGCAGAAATACTAGCAATATTTTAAGTACCAGCAAAATATCATCTGATATTGCTAAACGTGGCCTGTCATTTTCTTTTCCTTGCAGATCAGATTTTTTCATCTTTTCCTCCATTTTTTTCAATCTTTGCATCTTTTTTCTTTTCTTTTAATCCAACTGATAAAGTATGAAACTTTAAAAAAAAAAAAAGAAAAAAAAGAAAGAGAAAAGAGAGAGAGAGAGAAAAAAAACCCCAAGAAGTGAAGATACTCTGCTCCTGCTGAGAAATAAGTGGTGGAGCTGAGCTCCTGGGAGCTCCTCCTCACTTTGAGTGCTGACCGCCACAGTTCTTTTACCTGCCAACCCCTTTGGAAGAACCGTATTGATGTCCCAAGAACACAAACACTTGTTAAGCCAGTGCACATTCTCGCAGAGATACCAACCATGTATCTAAGTGTGTGAAGCAGAGAAATCACAGGTTGCTGTACTCTGAATATGAAAGTGAAAATGAACAGTGAAGTGACTTGCAGGGGCGCGGAATTCATCCTGCATGAGTGTGATCACCCATAAAGAGTTAGATCTTGGGAGTGAGAACTTCAGAGCCAGTCCTTCGAGGCAAAACTGTCACTGTTTGAAAGTGTGGCTCAGGGAGCTATGTAAGAGCTATGCTTCCTCAGTAGAGCAGGTAGTAGAACCCAAACTGCAACTGAGAGGATCTGCTCCCAAAGTGAAGCTTTCCCCAAGACAGATGAAGAAGATTAGTTTCTTGGTTGACTGGATATCTTAGGGATCAACTTTGGGATGCAGAATATTTCTCTAGTGCAAAATTCTGTGTACCTGCTTAGGAAGCAGAGCCCAAAGGGCAGCTCAGCTGAAGAGGTATCAGTGACGTAAGCTACCCAACTAAGGGCAAAGCAGCAAGCCTTTAAGAAGAGGTCCCTTTAAAGCTTTCTTTTTGGGTACATCTTCAAAAGTACTGAACAGCCAACTAACACATTCCAGTAATACATTCTGGAAATCAGACCACATCAGTAACTTTGATTTGAACTCTCAAGCAGAAATGTAGCCACTTACTCTATTTACTAACAAAAGAAACAAAAGAAACATTATCTTCAAAACCAGTGAACTCACTTCCAAAGTTTTTAAACCAAAAGACACTTCCAACACACTATTAACAAAGTAATCTGCTGAAAAGCAGAGCGTGAACTTTCAAGGTAGCTTCCTCTTTTGTGTGGCTTATGTCCATTTGTTGTTGTTATCAGCAAAAGCTCCCCTGATGGCACATTTGATCTTCTTTCAAAAGCTCTCTTGCTGACCAAATGCATAAAATATTTACAGAAATGAAATACTGAGCTTTACCTGAAAATATTCCTGGAATGTAAGGTCTAAAATACAATTTAACCAGGGACCATAAATGTCTCTAGCTACTTCTATAGAATTCTGAACAAGAAAATGTTAAATAACGCAGACAATGCTGGTGTAAAGAGTTGTAAGGAAGGTAGCGTTTGAAATATGTTAAATGCAACTTTCATTTTTGAAAGCATGAAAAATATATCAGACCCAAGAAAACGGATTTAAATCTACAACCACGTTGCTATACATTCCAGCTGCTAGTGCAAATCCGTTGGCTGCAGTCCATTTAGACTGAAGTAGACAAAGAAAAATGTGTTGTAAAAGTACTTGTTTTACTGGTAGGACAGTTTGTTTTTCTAATAGATCAAATGGAAGATGAAATGGTGTTTTCTGAAATACATGAAATGTGTATATAAAATACAAGGAATGGTTTATTCAACCCTTCACAAATCTTCACAAATCTTTTTACTCATGCAGATAAAATAGGCATACAAAATCCCAGATCAGACAAAAACTGTACCCAAAATATCTCACAGTAAATTAGCTCTTTTCTTGAGAAAAAGTAAGGTCCAAGGTAAAGAATTCAAAACTTCTTGGTGCTTATTTTGTTGGAGTCGTTTTAGCTTTTTAGAAGAAAATTATTCATCCGTTTGCAAATAAGACATTTACAAACCTTTAAGGGTTTTACCAACATTTGGAATGATAACAGCCTCACTCTTATCACAGTAGTATCCAAACAGAATTGTACTTTTTCCCTTTCAGTAAGAAAGTAAAGAAAATATAATGAATATTGTTATTACAGTTCAAACCTATTCTGTAAGACAAGCTGTGTGACTTTGATGGTATGAGATCTTTTTTGTGTATAAATTGTACCTAGCAAACTCTTACTGGAATCCAGAGTCAAAATCCAAAATGAAAATCTCTGTTCTTAACAATAAAACAATGTATTTTCCTTGTGCACTTTACACAGTAGCTCAGCTTAATAGGGTTTCAGCATTCTCCATGTGCAGTCTATTTAGAAGCTATTACATGAGATAAGTATTTACAGTGAGATCTTTAGGGAATTATTGTGTAAAGACATAGAACTGGTGTGCTGCTGGAAATGGATATATTATCTAGTATGGGGCATGTGATCAGCTGATGATTAGAAAGAACTAAAATTCACATGCACTGCATTCTTCCATAGAAAGGGGGAATACGCTATTGTTTGGATAATAATACCATATGAAAAGGTTAATCATTGTCTGACATTCGCACTATTGAATGAAAACATACTTGTGCTGAGGCTGTGAATTTCCTTGATTAGAAACTCTGTTTCCTGCTGGGATCTTCTCCAACACCAAGACATCTTGGTCGTGTTCTTTGAGTCTTACTGTATTTGCTTCCACATCCTGCAATACAAGTTACTTTTAATAAAGTAATTACATCCAATTTGGCTGATTAGTTACTCTGAAAAAGTGAATGTCTTTCAAATACAAAGGCTCTGGGGTTGGTTCTTTTCCCCTGTGTTTATCTCTTCTGATTTCTCACAGGCAGAATCAACAGGGAAGCACTGGCACTGTGGGAAGAGACAGAGAATTGTGGGAGCAAGAAGCACGTGAAAAATCTCTGGCTATGGCAAAGGAAAAAAAAATGTTTCCCGAAAAACAGAGTGCCCACCCCAAAGTTTCCATATGTAATGTAATCTCTGGTCCTACTTATATGTAAACACTGTGATCCGTAACCTGACTTTTCTTTTTTAAAAAAGAAAATGTCACTTAAAAATGGTCTTAGCTCAGTTTAAATTGTCAGTGAACTTCATTTTCTACTACCAGATCACAGAATTAAAAAAAAAAAGGAATTAAACATAATGTCCATTCAAATAACACACGTGAAAATAAGTAAGACCTTGGACTTCGATCTTCTTTCAATTATCAACCAAAGCTAAATCAGCTAAATCAGGAGTCTCCATGGCCAACCCAACCTTACTGCCAGTGGGATACTTGTTCTCTTTTGTACAATAAATACAATCTTATGTCATCTAGCACAATACTCTGTCTGTACTGGGTCTACGGCTGCAATACTGGGCATGTATACATTTAAATACAGGATGATACTGTTCTTGACTTCCTATACCATGAATAATCAATCACAAACCAGCTTGTATTTACGGACTTTGGAACACATTTGCCCTAACATGGATAACTGTAAATTAGAACTCTCTGATAAAGACAGCTGTGTATTTACCTGTAGCTTATTTAATTTGCCACTTGATTCTGCTTTGAACCTATTAAGGTACCAGACACTGATCTATCTGGGAGAACAGGTGATCCTGTTTAACCCAGTATCTGGATGGAATAAGAAAAAACTGAGCACTTGGCAAATTCTAGACCACAGAAATGTGAGAGACAAAACAGACTATTTTGTCCCATTTTCACAGCTGAGCTAGGAACAGAAAAAGGAAAGATGATTTATATATTCTTTACTTGATCTTCTAAACTGTTGCATCTCTGGTCTGTAATTAGGGACAGTTGAAACATGGTTATCAGTATCAATAGATCCATAGAAATATGACAAACTCTAGAAAAAACTGCGATTTCTGATACCACACTGTTGGAGTGGCCCTTCCCACTCTTACCCTAAGGATCCGGTTGAAGTCCTCCTTGTCTACTCTCAAGAAGTGGCAGTTGTCTTCACGCAGAACAATGGATGCTGCTCTGGGAGCATCATTCACAAGTGCTAACTTGCCAAAATCATCTCCTTCGTGTAGAGTACATACCACACCCTGCACAGAGCAAAACATTTATATGCAGAAACCCATCATTACTCTGGATTCTATTGAAAGTCCTTGTACAAACACTGGACTTCACAATCAAATACCAAAACAAATCTATTTGGCAGGAAATCAACAGCCAAAATAATGACTAGGAAACAATACTTGATAGCTGGTTATTACTATTACTAAAGAAATGCAAGAATAGAAAAGAATTGGCTTGTTCTCTGAAATTACATTCAGCTTGAAGGACTCTTCCAGCCCTGCTGAAGACAGAAAGTTGTTGAGTTGTTTGGTTTTTATTTACAGAGGCCCTAAAAAATAAGATCAAGTTTGCAGAAATAACATATAACAACTCACCCTCGGCTGGTGTAAATCAGCAATGCTCCATTTACTACAGTTTATAGTAACAGAAGATCTGGCTCACCCAGTGATGTAAAAACACTATCTAAATATGGGTTACTTAGGAATAGACTTAGCACCAGGGCCTCTATGCTAAATTTTGGTGAAATGCTTGGTATTCAGAATGGAGGATTCCCAGTTACTGAATGAAATATCAATAGAGAAGTAGGGATTTTTAAAGACATGAGGGATTCCTCTGCACCAAATTCCTATTTTTTTACCTTGGAAAATCTCTCATAAATGGGAAATATAACAGAGATGCTTTTCAGTCTACAACTTGATTAAAATGAAGAGCTGGCATAAATTTGGGAGGGATTCATCTAACCTGAGAACCACTAGTCACAAAGCAGTACTTTTGTCAGACACCCCTGATGTGTGAGAGAAGTTAGTCATACACGTGCAAGTATATAGGGACAGGGCAAAAACCCCCACGAGAAGGAAGTCTATCAATTCACCAAATTCCAGCCAATTACTTTGTCCTAAAGATATTAACGTAGCTCTCCAGAACTATATTCAGAAAGTGTGTAATATATCCTGAAATTATACAGCAATCAACTGGAAGCTTAATCAGTGAAACCACTGGATCATTTCTTAATAAAATTACATTCAATTTGTTTCCTCAGACAAAGCAATTTTGCTCTAAATTAAACTGTGCTCCTTCAAAGTTTACTCTTACAATTTTAATAATAAGAACCATATAAAAAGGCTTCTGAAAAAAATA